GATATGGGCCTATGCCTCTGCAATCACATCCATCAACTCCTTTAGCACCCTTGGATGCAGCGCATCCGGCCCTATGGACTTGTATTCATCCAGTTTTTCTAAATAGTCCCGAACTACTTCTTTCTCCACAGAGGGCTGGTCACCTCCTCTCCATACTATGCTGCCCAGTGCAGCAGTCTGGGAGCTGACCTTGTTCGTGAAGACAGAGGCAAAAAAAGCGTTGAGTACATTAGCTTTTTCCACATCCTCTGTTACTAGATTGCCTCCCTCATTCAGTAAGGGGCCCACACTTTCCTTGACTTTCTTCTCGGACAGGAATCAGAAGCCAGGTATGGAAAAGAAAAGGAATGTTTTAGACCCCAGTATGATCACATGTGGGGAAAGTACGTTGGGTTGCTAGAGCTGGTCCCCAGCTAAAAGCTCCAAACATCCCTGAACGTTCAAGACCATATATGTGATGTGTGCACATAGCTCCTCGGGTTATAATACTCATGGTTGGCGTGGCTTTCAGTGGTTAATGCTGTCTGATGAGGGGGTGTCTCAAAGGTGCCAAATGGCCCTGATTGTTAGAGCTGTAGATAGCAGCTTAACATAGCTATCCATGAGGACTGGGATTGGTTGGCAAATCAGTGGTTGTAGATGAAGTGGTTAAACCTTGGCTTCTCAGGTTCCAATTCCAAATTAAATCATGAATCAGGGATGGAATCCACTAAAAGTTGCACCTTTTAGTACTTGACCATGTTGTGTTTCACTGTTAGGCTGGCTCAGTTTGGTAACAGTATTGCTCTAGCCACAGATGACTCATGTCTCCCGATCTTGGGAGGCGGGGTGGGGACACAAATCTAAAGGGGAGAACACGTGACCGCCCCACATGTCTCCTTTGCCCAGCGACCTCTGCCCTCTCCTGCCCTATACCCAGCCCGGGGCCGCCGCGCTCTCCCTACCCCACCAGTGTTACCTACGGGGGAGAGGGGACTCTGTCCTCCCACTGCATCTCTGCCTCCCCCACTCTCCCGGCATGTTCAGCCACTCTCTCTGGCACCCATGCCTGAGCGGGGCGTGGGGGGGAGACGCTTCTCACACCAGCTGAAGCTGGCTACTCTGAGTCGCTGACTCTGTGCAGTGCTCTCCCTGAGAGCCTGGCTAGGGCGGCAGCCTGCACTACTCCCTCTCCTCCCAGCCCAGCTCAAAATTATCCCTCCTGACTCCACTGTTGATGATAAATAATGCACAGCAAATGGCCTGGCAGAAATTATTTATTCCTGTTTAAATGTATCCTGTTAAGTACACCTGAAATTTATACAATTATCTCTCCCCTTTGGTAGAGGAAAAGAAGAAGTCAAAAGAGACTTTATCAACGAACCAGGATGACAATTCCTCCAATCAAGAGAATCCAGGTGTGTTGCCATCACACTCAGGCCAGAGTTAAGTGGGGGAAGTGAGACACATGTGCTGTATGGCAGTGACTAGCTGCTTGCCAGGGAAG